AAAGAAAAGATAAAGAAAGCTTTCTTGTAGTTCCGCTTCTTCCTCTAAAAATGAAGAAAGACTTGTCGGAAATGGCCTTGGTCCAACCAAGAAAGGCATGGGAGTTTTTGGGCATTGCTTGAGCTAAATCAAGCTTAGGTCGAGTGTTGTAAAGACTGGCTACCTAGAAAGTCAACAAGAAAGATGAAAACTTCCGTCACTGCACACTTTATATATCTCAATTTATCAGGACGTCCATAGCAGCTCCGCTTTCTTTTCTGAAACGGCTTTCTCGATACGAAATAAAAAGCCCGGCTAGACTATATATAGCATTACATTAGCTGCGGCTTTCAGTATCTTACTAATGCAGCAAGGGAGGGAATACTTTTTCCAGAGAGGGTAGGAAAAAACCAGCATTTCTATATAATTATACTCGACCACAATAAACTGAAAACCGCGGAGTTGAGAAGGGGCCCCAAACAAAACCATAACTCAATGTTGTCCGCCTTCTGTCCCCCACTACCAAAAGACGTGGAGACCTTTTTATCTCGTCAGCTCCTTACCTAAGGCTATCTTCACGTCACTTCTTTGAACTCGCTTAAGGAAATCCCAAGCTCCAATCAGCTTAGCTCTAACACTCGAAAAAAAAAGAACTAAAAAAAAAAGAACAAGGCAATGGGGCCGGCAGACCCCCATTTATACCACCACTCAAAACGACAACTCAAAAGACCAATTCATTAGCTAAACTCATCCCTATTCACTTAGGAAGCAATCGGACTGGCCTCTTGCTTTTTCTTTATAGAAAGCGTGTTCAAGGCGTCAAGTCCTTTCGTTTAGTACGAGATCACATTTCACGGTGCTTTGCTTACATTACACCTCTGGTCTATCAAATCATCGTCCAAGAACAAATGCCTCTTCAAAAGAGAATCTCGAAGAACTAGACGATCCTTACCAGTCTTACTAGGCAGGACAGAAACCAATCCTAGAACTACAAGATGATACCTTTGAAGCTACTTCTCCTAACGACAAGTCAAGGCATACCCTCCAATAAAATAAAATAAAGGAGAGCGGCTTTCCCTCTACTATTAGAAAACAAGAATGGAAGTCACAATAGGTAAGGGGAAGTACCATTGGGCGAACTCCGGTCGAGAAGGAAATGAAATTATACAAGAGGGAATGTCAATTGAGATATACTCTTTCCCTTCCTTATTCATGATTCATGCTTGAATGAAGTCAGCAGTGGAATTGTGTCAGGCTATGACACACTTTGCTACTTATTAACTTCTTAGAAAGAAGGAAATGCCTCATTTTTTGGTCCGGAGAGAGCTTTTTATCATTCTATGCGATGAATATCAGATCAAGTCTTAAGTCTTGTGCTTGGTAAGCGGGAGTAATCTTAGACGAATCTAGATATTAGATATTGGTGATAGTACTGGTGCTCAAGACCCGGCTTATCCAAAGATCTCTTTTTTGAATCAGGCTTCAAAGTAAAGTCCAAGTAAAAGAGTGCAGTTTCGCGAGAAATAGGATAGAGAGCGGGTGGAACACTGTACCAAGGACAAGGATCGACCTTTAGGGAGAGAGAAGGAGAAGATGGAACCTGATATGAATAAGAGGTGGGGGTAGGTCCTAGGTGAATGGGCTAGACCGGAAAGCGCGTTCACTCCAGGAAGAAGGAATGCCCCAACCACGATTAAGCGCTACGAAATCAGCCCTCCATACCATGACCTCTCTCTATATAGGAGCCTTACAAGACTTAGACAGCTTCGAGAAGACTCCGGGCTTGCCTGAGGAGCTATTTCAAATGAGACAGGAATGAAAGCAAGGCGGAGAGGGGGAGGAGAGTTAGTCAAAGCTGCACGGGACCTATCTGCTGCCTCCACTTCTCCTTAAGGTAGAGTTGAGCTTATTCATGAGGATGATTCGTAGTTCTCATAAGTAAGACAAAGATCTTACTTACGCACGATTCGAATACACAGCTAGACGTAGGCAATGGTTTGAATGCTCGCACAGACGGAATAGAATACCGGATTGGACCTTAGCCGCTCGGGAATCGAACCCTTCTCCACCAGGAAAGGAAATCGCCACGACGCTGACATCTTTTCATACGTACTAGACCCGGAGTACAGGCAAATTCGGAACAAGCCGCTTACACGACTTCCACTCCTTACCAGACTTCCAATACAGACAACTCAAGCAAGAGGTTTGACATCACTCCTGCAACTGCAAGACAAAGACTCAATCAAGAACCAGAGAAACTGCAATCAACCTTAGTCAAAGACTAGCCACATCCCCTGGCTTGCACCCTGACTCTCAGTCTCAGTCAACTCAAGGTGAGAAGCGAAAGGCCAGCAACTGCACTAACTGAGGGACACATTGAAAGCAAGAAAGAAATAGAACTTAGACAAAGAACAATAATACGATACGGAAATCCGAGTCGGCAATGGGCCGGATACACATTCACTCGTTAGCGACTCCTACTAAACAGCCAGACAGAGAAGGAAAGCAATGGAGCCCGCCGGCTATTATACATTCCCTGAGACAGGAAAGCCTTCGCATACTCGCCCTCGCTCTGAGTCCCTTTCTCCCTGTCAATGACATTATTGCTTTCTGTCTCCTGTGCTTGGGTTAGTAGCCCTGGGTCAAAAGGGAGACTCCCCCTTTTGGCATGGGGCACCAGCTTGCTTGGCCAAGACGTTATGGGTATAGGTCAGCCAGGCAATACAAGATTAGGCAAACAGGGCTGTGGGCTTTAAGTCAGGCTCCTTTCCATAGATAGGCTTTTTTCCCGGTAAAGAGAATAAGATATCGAGCTGATAGATATGAGTTAAGGGGAATGGGATATTATGCCTGGATCCAGGATTCCACTGGACTGAATCTTTCATGAAAATCGACTCCTTGGTTAAAACCCTGAGCAACCAATAACGCTTTAAACCGCTCTACGGAATATTTGAAAAAATCACTAACAATATAGTCAATAATAATAAAGTGGCTTTCCTACTGACTGAATCGCTTGAATTAGTTGAAGGCGCGGGAGCACCCCATAATGAGATATTTCGCTTTCCTAATCGATTTGAAGCCTCTCTTGAGACAACCAATCGGAATGGAAGGGTTTTCCGTAGGGCTCGGGGTCAAGGAAGAGCACAGGAAAGCTTCCCTCGCAACAACTCGCGAAAATGCAAACACTCCAATCAGAGGCTCTGACAAGACGTCCGTAGCCCCGGTAAATGAGATTCTTGACTTTCCTTTCATTCTTTCAAGTCAAACTAGGCTCCTCCCACACCACAAGGATGGCTAAACTCGCCGCAGGAATGGTTGAATATCAGGTTTAGGCTTGCCCCAGCTTTCTAATAGGACTTTCCTTAGAACGAGACAGATATTGAATTAACGGAAAGGCTCGTTGATACCTTTACGCCAACATGAAATCGATTTGCTTTGGCTGATAGCTGTGCCAAGGCAATGAAATTGTTCTCGAATCAGCAGAGTGGATCTGACACTATTCATCCACAGTCAAATTAACCCTTAAGGGACTGAGTGGCCTACTAAGAGTAGTGCGGGAAGGAGCGTATCGAGAGGCAAAGGCAGAGACGCCCGGAAAGTCAAAAAGGAAAAAAATAGAGTAAGGTCTTTACCGATCTATTCTATGAAAAGTCTTTCTCCCTTATATGCCTTCCCGAAGAAAAGGTGGTTGTGAACTGAACTTCCTTTCGGTGGAAGCAGGAAGTGCGATAAAGATTCTATTTCTTCCGCTGAGGTGAGGAGCTCCTCTATTCCTATTCTATTTCGGTGATTTTAGAAGTATTCCTATTCTTATGATTAGATCATCGACCACAGGCAAGAAAAAAAGGAAGAACAACCGCTACAGCTTCGCTTCCTTACTTATTGGGTCACTTTCTAGTTGGAATAAAGAACATAAGGTGCAAGGCCCTTTTAAGGCGTTATGGGTCGGCCACATAGGAATAAGAATAGCATTTCTCTTTCATAGACTTTCACGTTGAAATGGGATAATCAGTATCAGTCAATAGAGGAGAGCTTTCTGTGACAAAGGAAGAAGCCTCGAAGGAAGAAAACACTTCTTTAAGGGCTAGCGAGTCACCTCCGGCTCCGGGAGTGGAAACTGGTCTTGTCAATGAATTCTAGTAAGTAGAGTAAGGAAAAGAGGAAGCCGAGTGAAGGGCTTGATCGGTGTCACTACCCCGCTTCCCAACGCCAGAAGTCTGTTTTTCCTAACGAGCCTAGCTGCCATTTCAGAGGATGGCACCTGTTTTTCTCTTTCTTTCTACAGCTGTTATAGTTTAAACTTCTTTCCAATAGCTGCTTGCTTGGCTTCAAAGCCTTACCTGCCCTTCGCCGCCTTCACAGAAAGATTGGTCTGGTCGATTGGTTACTTCCTTTTTGGATTAGTCAACACTCAAATTCTCTCTATAAAACGGTACAAGAGACGGCGCAGCGCTGCCTATGCGCTAATTAGCTTCCGATGTCGAAACTTCTCCTGCATTGATTGAAGGTAAAGCCTTCACTTCAAGCTTTGAAGCTAAGTCCGCTGCTATTCGGTCAAACTCTGATAGGCTCTAGGCCTTACCTTACTCTTTCGGGGTTCACTCTTCTACTTAAGCTCCTTAAGTTCCTAGATAGGCGGATGCCTTTGCCGAGTCTAAAACTCCGACTCCTAAACTCAAAACTGGCCGGAAATGCCCATTTTGAGCTCGCTCTGGCGGATGTTCCCGCTGATCTTGACTTTACAAATAGTCAGCTTCTGTCTTTCCATACATAGTATGGCACTTTTCTTGTCTCTTTTGTCTTTCTGTAGCTGGTCTTTCTTTCCCTTTTTCATTCTTCACAAATGCATCGAATGCTTTTTTGGAGGGCGTTTGACCTGTCTTAGCTTTACAGCTTCGTTCCCTTGCTGCCCGAAAGGTCTTATTTTCGACTTGAAATTATACCGATGATTCCCGGGTAATAAATCCACTGAAGCCTATGTTACCGACTTTTGTTTAGAGAAGTTAGAGTTAGGACATGCC